TACTCATTATATATAATAAAAGCAATAAAGAGGTTTCAACTATGTACACAAGAAAATATATGAAAGTCGTAAGTCACATTTTAATGGTCCTGATTTTCTTGTTTCTCAAGACCTTGTATAGAGGTTCTTGTTTAGGAGAGACTCTGAAAATAAGGTGTTTTTTCTTGCTGGCTATAAGATTTTCTACTTCCAGTAGTATGTTGTCTAACATTCTGTCAGGACTTACAATGTTGAAACATCACTAGATAATAAGGAAAAGCTAGCAGTCCCTGGTGACACAGCAGGACTGCAGTGTCACCATACTGCCTCATCTGCTTCATACTGGTTTGCTTCTTATTTTCCAACATGTTGCATAGTTTTCAAAGAAATCAAATTTGAACATTCTTCTTTCTTTAATCAGTATACAAAGGTGGAACATGTATTGGTGGGCATGAAATGACTCCTATTTTACAAACCTTCCTTCATCTCTTTAACAGAAAGAAGACAAACGGCCTCAGCCCAGACGACTTCAAGATATGTTTGAGAGAGGTAGGCTGCATAAAGACTAAAGCCCCATTCAGATCATATTTTGTTGACATGTGCAGCTTGTGCCTCTGGACCCCATCCAGGTCCTCAGGAATCACTGGCTTACATGTTTTGGATAAGACTAAAAGAGTCCATTATGGACAGGGGGGTCATACTATGATCTGGGTGGGCTTTATGATACCTTAATTTAATGTGTCAAAGTCCAGTCCTCGAGACCTACTGGTCTGCAATGTGAAGATGCATCCCAGCACACCTGGACCAAATGAATAGCTCGTTACCAGGCCTCTTCCTACATCTAGACAGAACTAGATGTAGGAAGAGGCCTGGGTCAGTAAGTATTGAGTATTGTGTCAGTGCTTGACTAGAACCAAGTGAAGAATGTTGGGACTCCATTTTTTGGAATTACTTCATCAATGCAGCATGACCTGGAGGCTTTGAGCCAGTGATTCTGCTTAGGTGTTCAGGTAGCTCAGGTTGCTTTGATAGCTACCTTCATGTCATCTGCATTATTTCTCATCTTCCTTGTGACATTGTAAAACTGTAGATTCCCATTTGCTGGCCAGTCAAGAACAATATCATCATGCTCAATGAAGCAGCTTCATACCCGCCCATTTCAGTTTGGGCGGGTATGAAGTCCTTCTGGAAAATAAAATCAGCTTCTCCATAAAGCCTGTCAGCAGAAGGAAGCATGAAGTACTCTTGATATTTTCTGGCAGACTGCTGAACTGACTTGGGACTTTAGAAACTGGACCAACATTAGCAGACCAGGAGAACTGAGAAAACTTCACACTGAACTTCAAGCAACATGTATTCTGTGCCTCTCCACTTCTCCTCCAAACTCTGAGATGTTGATTTCCAGATGAAGTATAACCTTTACTTTGACCTGGAAAGAGAATGTTGGAAACCTACTCATTCAAATTTGCAGAATTAAACCTTAAAGTCATAATATTGGTTTTCATACTTTTGGTAACCAGATGCCACTGTGACTTTGCTGAAAACTCCTTCAGTGACACATTTTTTCAATACAAGCTACATTTGTAGTTCAGTGCTCTGCAGACGAGGGAGTTAAATTATTCCATTCATTCACGTGTGAGCACAGATGTCTCCAAACGTTGCAGGATAATAACCTTCAGGACTGGACCTGGGCACCTCGCCTCACAATTGAATACAGCAAAATTCTCCACATTTGTTTATCTGCTACTGAAAAAGCCCAAAACTTAAGCTGCCTCAGTTCAGTATGAATAATATCTATTGTCCCAGTGCTGATCTGGAAACATCTTAACATTTACAGGGTTTTCATCTCTTTTATTAGAGCACTGTTGTCCAAACTTGGTCCTCAATGGCTGCTGATGAGAGCAGTCATAACAAATCTTGCTGGATGATAAATTGTGTGTTAAATAATAATATTGTTACTTTGAGACCACTTTCAAATAATATTTTAATAATTGCATAATAATGTAAGTTCTCAATCTCAAAGACCAATAAACTTTAATTTTAAAAAGTGGAAGATATTTAAAATACTTTCAAGATGAATCCTGATTAGTCTTAATGCTGAAGTCTAATGCCAATGAGCATTAATCTAATGTTTATTAATGCTGCACAATGTGACCACTAGAAGAAAACTTGTCAGTTGGTCATATGAACAAGTTGAAATAAAATGACTTAGTGGTGAAACAATGAGATGGGTTATATTTACTAGCTATTTCAGTTAGAAAATTATAGTGTTGTTTTTATGGTTTGAGATATTAAATAATAAAAAAATCTCTTTTGTTTTTATAGACATGGCCACAGGCAGTTCCAGTTGCCATTTATCACCTGGAGACAAAGACTTTCAGCACTTGATTTCCTCCAAGGCTTTCCTGAATTTCAAATTTGACAGAGACGCCATCATGAAATGTTTTGATTACTGATATTCATCAAACTCTACATTCAGTGACTTTTAATCTTCATGGACAAGGATGTTTCTGAACAAGCTCTTTCCCTTTTTGTTGTCCTTGTGAGCCCACATATCCATCTGAAGTTTGTCCATATTTCTCTAACCATGTAGAAAAGTGTTTCATCTTGCCTGCCTTTACTGTCCAACTGTTCTCACGTCAGTTCATAATGTAGCAGTTCTTTCATCAAGCTGGACTTCACATACTTTTCACATTACTGCTCCAAGTTATGTCCACAGGAGACTGCACCCAATAGAGGGCAACTGTTCAAGATAGTAAATGTTCAGTAGAGCTAAAATATTTCTCATTTTGAAAACTTTCAGATTTTAGGCCTAATATTTTGGGGAAGTGCTAAATGTAAAACGATGTGAAAAGAAATGATAGCATATTAAATTTGGCTGTTGAATCACTATCAGTATTACTTGACATCTGGATTTTTAGATTTTATTAAAGAAGGTACATTTAATTCTGGAGTTTGTAGTTTTATAGTTTTGTTAACCTGCTTTACATCTGCCAGAGAACTTCTAGTTTGTTTTTTACTAAGCACTGTTTTGCTTCATGTATTTGCGTTTTCAGACACTCCCACTGTGTTCTAACCAGAAACCAGAATTTTTCAGACACCTTTCTCACAGTGAATGACATAAATTTAAACTACAAACTGTTGAATATGTTCTGAAACGCTTTTCTGAACCTATTTGTCCTTAATTGTCCACTTGTTTTGCCATATTTTTTCTGGGGATTGGGCTTGGCTTTTAACAGTATTCTCTGAAATTAAAATTTTATTTTAGGGACTTATAATATGTGTTTAATTTTGAAAAATAAGCTGACTGTGCATTTGGAGTTTTGCAAACAGAATGCTACTGAATCCATGGAGCTTCTCTTGTTTAAAACAGAAACAAATTACTAAATTAAGATTGAAAAATATGAGTTTCAAAATAATAAAAATAATACAAAATAAAAAAAATTAAAGAAAACCTGATATTGTAAGTTTAGTTTCATCCATTGTGTTTCAGGAAGGAAGTTCATAATTTAACTGTAGTACATTACTACTTTTTGTGTAATGTCCACTAATATTTGAAAAAAATAATGTTTTAAAAATCACATTTAATATTTCAGGAAAATATAAGAAACACAGTTCTCTGTCGAGTTTCTTTTCTTCGATATGTCTCACTCCTGTTTGTTGTGATTTACAAGTTTTGTATGATCAAAGTGATCCTGTACTGCTTTAAAAACTAGACGTTTCCAATCATGTTGTTCATGACGCACAATTTATCTTGTTAAGCTGGCACAAGTTGATTTCTGTAGGAGAAAATAGTGATATATGAAACAATGCTTTCGTTACAAAAAACCTAATGTTGAGATTTATTTCTACGTGACTTTATATTCTGAGCAAGTGCTGTGTTCGTACCATGAGTGATTCTTTTACGAGACTTAGAATGATTAAGCTGTTTGTAATAGATTTTACCCATGTTATCTCAAGTGCACTTGGTTTAAACTGTTTTTATTTCTGAATGGTGAATTTAATAAAAGTGCTTTTCAAAGAAACTGCTTGAGGATTTAGCTTTGCTTTAAATCTCTAAATAGGTATGAACTCTTATCTGTTTCTGAGAATATACATGTTTCACGGAATAGACCACCTTCTGGTTCCTTATAAACAAGTTATTTGGACTATATTCTATAATTCATCTGCACTTCTTTTATTTTGCCTCAGAAAAAGTGTATGTATATTTGTCAACAGATTTGATCCTTTTGATCCTGCTTAGTCCCATTTTTTTTTTCTTTTTTTGCTCTGGAACCATCAATGCTGCTAATGTGGCTTAAAGTTTGGCTAGGGCAGGAGAGAAGGATGCTGAGCTTTTATTCTTGAACTCAACTTGATGTTCATTTCATTGTTCAGATTTCCGTGCATGTGATCCTCTTCATTCTTCTTCATCCCTAACCACACATTAGATTATTGACTGCTGATTTATATAACCAAGAGAGTTGAGAAAAAATTAAAAGTTAACCATTTTGTTAACTTCGGTAGTTACGATGCTGACGCAGTTATAGTGTGATCGAAATGCTTAAAAATGTTGAAATAGTCCATTATTGAAGTTTTATAAATCACAAACTTGGTTTTAAATAGTTTCCTACTAATTGAGAATAATTTAATCCAGAAGAGTTTAAGTTTTGTTTTTTTATTAGCGTAGATGAAAAATGCTGGAAGTAGTGCAAAATTAGGTGAAATCGCCCTTTAGCCATTTCCCGAATTGAAGCTGCAATCGAAAACCAACTTCAGCTTTGTCCCAAAAAGGAAAGAGTAGAGGAAAGGCAGTCAAAAGGCCAAGCTGTTCTTTGGGAAAGGGACATGAACTCAGTGGGAAGGCCGGCATCCCAGTTTAACCGATGTCGGAAACAATATAGGAGCAAGTTATTTTGAATTTGTCCTGGTGCACTGACTCATATTAGGGTAGCGGTGGATGATGCCGCTGCTCTCGTCATCAGCTCATGAGTCTTTTATTCTGAAGGGTTCAGAACGGATGCGTAGTCGCCTATATTTTACTGGCCGGACACTAAGCTAACCTGGTGTGAAGTAGTGGCAACAAACCGGCAGAAGTTAGGAGGTTCACTGACGTTTAACTGCAAGGTACGTCCACCCAAACACCAAATAGGAGGCTGGTCTCTCAATAAGAAAAAATTTAAATAGCTTTTAAACGTCTTCAGTCCTCGGTTAAACGTACAGTTAGCTAATTTTAAATCACGTTTCTCTCACACCTGACGCTAGCTTGTTTAGTTTTAGGTTTCGGTACCTAAAACTAAACGAACTGTATCTAATTTATTTACTTTGGATCTACATTATTAGCTTTTTTCTTCTTTTGCTCTTTCCTTTGGTTTGTTATTTTGTTTGTATTTCTTTTTAATTCCTGTAAAGCACTTTGTATTGCCTTGTTGCTGAAAATGTGCTATATAAATAAAATTACACTTACCTTTACCTTTGTACTACTGGCAAGGCTCTATTACAGAATTTTTTTTCTTCCGAGAAGAAAAACAGTGAATGCAAGTTAAAGTTTAAACCTTCCTGCCACTTCAATATGGATGGAAGGTTTAAACAAACTTTCATTGAGAACAGAAGACATTAAATACAGCGGTATTTAATATGATGTTTCCAGAAAATTCTATCATCTATTATAACCGCTATAAATTTAATTTGATGCATTCTTTCTACGTTAACACCCTCTAAATTTTATGCTGTCTGGGCGCTTTTGTTTATTGTTAGTAAATGTTATGAACCAACTTTTAATTTTAATAAATTATGATGTAATAGAATGCAAAAGTTGCAGATTCTCACCAAAATCTAAAACATTTGTATCATCAGCAAATGAAATAAGTCTTAGGATTTAAAGGATTGATTATACCTTACATGTGCCATTAAAGTTTAAGATTAATAATTTGGGACCAAACACTGACCCTTGAGGAACACCACATACAATGTTCAAACATTCAGACCGAAATTGTTCTATCTTCACACATGGTTTATGGTTCTTTAAGTAACTTTTTACCCAATTTAGTGCAGTCCCCCTGATCCCATATTGTTCTAATGTACTGACTAAAATATGATGAATGGAATCATATGCTTTGTTGAGAACAATGAACATGCCTGGAGCAAATGTCTTTTCATCTGTGGAGTTAGTAATATCCTCAGTTTGTTCAATTATTGCATGTGATACTGATCATTTACTTTGGAAGCCATATTGACTATTCACAAGTAATTGATGTTTTTCAATAAAATTGTCTAGTCTGCTGTTTTCATAGTTATTACTAATTACAGTATTTAAGGTTGTCCACATACCCTTTATTTATATCATGTTTATTTTTCTCTTATAATTTATATTCTCCTTGCACTTGTGTATAATAGAAGTTAACATATTTTTATACTTTTCATATTTACCTTTGGTTTCAATAGTCCTGTTTTGTATACAATTTTTATACAGTGTGTTTTATTACAAGCATTTACTCCTTTAATCCATGGATTATTTTTTGCCTTTGTTGTTTTCAGTACAGTTTTACAGGACAGTTTGTATCATAAGAAATCTTAAATATTCTCAAAAACTCATAAGTGTTATTCATATCATTTTCTTTGTACATTAATTGCCAGTCAAGTGTCTATAGATTGATCAGTTTTAACAATGAAATTGTTTATTTTCTTATTTGGTTTTCTACTCTGAGTTATATAATGTTGTTGCTCAAATGATTTGCTTTCCAAATCATTGGTATCACCTTTCAAAGGTGATACTAAGAGCAGAAGCTTAAAGTGAATAGAAAATCTCTTAAATCATCCTGTAGTTTCCAAGAGGCAGTAAACATGGAATCTCAGTCCTCTTCCAACTGACCTTTTCCTACTTTTTGTGCTATAACAAAAATGCTGTCATAAATCTCAGTTTTCACTTATTTGCTAATTAAAATAAAATGCTCTTGTGCTTACTAAGGGTTCCTATGGAATCTGACCAATTTCTAGCTTTATTGACTGAGCAGTTCTCTGAAACAGCCTGACTATTGTCTTACCATCTTTGCCTCGGGAAAATTGTCACATAAAATCTGCAAAAAAGTACTCACTCCCTTAATGATGTCTTGTACTCTCTTTCCATAAATGATGCAATTGATGTGCGCACAGTCATGTATATATTAAACAATGCATTATTTTTTTCATGAAAGTTCTTTCTTTAAATTCAATAATGAACAACATTTTCTGATAATCTGTTGGCAGATGGATCTGTTTTTTCTTTAAGTTTTCTTGGGTTATTTAACAGTATTTGGACATGAAAGAGAAGGAGAAGATATGTTGTAAATGGTCTGAAACTGGGAATCAAACCCAAGACCGCTGCAATGAGGACTACAGCCCACATCACTATCTGCTTTCACCTAAAAGTCTTACTTTCTGCTGTTTTCATACTTGAAACAATTTTTTTTTTTTCCTCTTGTTTACAAAACCTATCACACGAGGTTCAAAAAGTGAACAGTTGGATTTTTAGTTTAGAGCACTTGACACTAGTGAAGATGATATCTTTTTGTGTTGCAGTGCACCATGTTTAATGCTATGGGGACATCACAAAAAGCGTCCAGACGTCAAAACATGTCACCTCAAGGCTCCAGTTCCAGTGACTCAAAAACAATTCACATTGGTGAAGAAGTCAAGATAGCAGTGAACCTCTCTTTGGAGAGGTTTCGTTATAGTGATGAAAAAGGTACCAACAAAAACTTCCATCATTCATCTCTTTGCATAAACAGCTTGGTTCTCTTATGTGTTTTTCGTAAGAAACTCTAAGGTACAAGTTAAAACCAGTTTGAAGTTTAGTGTGTTGTCCACTGGATGGGATGGAGATCTCATTCAATTGTTGACTTGAAACTTGAACTATTCCTGCTCTTTATTATATATATTGTATTATGAAATGGGGCTGCACGATACTGGAATGAACTGTCTGGGATTTTTTTTCTTACAGTGTGGTTTATATTGCAATATAAAAATACACAGGAATTTTTATATCCTGCGTATTTGAGGATGTTGACCTAACATCCTTAAGTCAACTTTAGGAGCTGTGACTTGAACAGCACCTTTTTCAGTGAACATTATCAAACTACAAAGCATAAAAAATTCACTTAAAACAGCAAAGGGTGAGTTCAGCTCTTCAGTGTCTTTCAGCTCCTGATGCGAAATCTGATTACATTCAGTATTATTTAGACCTAGAACCATCAAACCCAATGTTTTTTTTATTACTTTAAAATTTTATTGTTTAAACGTAAATTATGAAACTGAACCACATTTATCCGTGTTAGGTTATTGTCTGAGGATAGTAACCTAATAACCACACAAAATAAAGAAAACAAAAATAAAGGGATGCGAAAACCTCACTCCAATGTAAATAGAAAAAGATATAAAAATATAAAAGTTTATATTTTTATATCTTTTATATCAAAACGTATTTGGTTGAATACGTTTTCTACCAAAAATGTGTTCTACGTTTTTAGTAGAATACAAGATGGTTAATTTTGCCATTATACTCTTGTAAGCATCAGGAGTCAGGTTTTATGTGGAGTATACTAACATTTACCTTGTCTGCTTTTGGTGGAACAGAGATGGAATTCCCATCCTCACTGTCCAACACTGAGCGAGCCTTTATTCATCGACTGGCCCAGTCCCTGGGCTACATTTCCAAAAGCAAAGGGTGAGTTCAGCTATTCAGCATCTTTCAGCTCCTCATGCAAAGTTTTAGAGCTGTTGAAAAATATTATTTTAGTTATTGAGTATTCTATAGATCAGTAGTCCCCAAGCTTTTTATTACCGTGGACAGGTCGAGTCTTGGCCATTTTGCTGCGGTCCGGGAGTTGGGAGTGTTGTCAGTGGGGCTGTTTTTCCCCGAATTTCCCTTTACCACAATCTTACAACGTCCTGCAGTGTGTGGTGGTGGTTTGTGCCCGTTAAATATGCTGGATATAAAATCGGGCATATTCAACATGGTTTGGAAAATCAGCCGACAATTATTAAATCATGACGTGTGACCCAGGCTTAAAACTCACAAGCTCCACTTCTCTCATCTTGTCTCGACCACTGCCCTAACGCTCTTTGACTCTGGTCGCTATGATAACGTTTCCGTATCCCTTCAAAATAAGATACAGATGCGCCACAAACATTTTACCTTAGTGAAAATCACTTAACGACTAATGTCCATGACGTCCGGGTGCAAAACCTGGGTTGCTCCGCTCAGTGCCTCAGACAAATAATCTGCCAGTGTGGATAAAGAAGTTTTTATTTATTTATTTTTTCTGTCGGCTGAACTGATTTTACTTTATATTTAAAAGGGAGCCCTGAACTTAAAGAGATCCCTGAGCCTGTTTCTCCCATCTGGAAGTGGTGGGAGACAATGGCACTGAAGTGTTGCTTATGCTGAGGCTGCTTGGTCTCTACGTGCCGAAGCAGTTTGAAGCTTCATTGCCTCATTAACAAGCCGGTCACCATATTATGCAGAGCAGCTTGTAATGTGGGAATCACCTACCCGGATAAATCCATTCTCCTATTTCTTCTCTGGGCTTTTTCCCTTAGTAAAGAAACTTTCCAAAGAATATGATCTGCTTCTTACTCATTTTGAGGCTTGTGGCTCAATGTTGGAGCGCAAGACGTAACTGAGAGAATCCGGTTCAAGGATTTTCAAGATAAAAAATCCTCCAGACTCAAATAATACATAAAACGGAAATATTTAATTATTTCTTGTGTGGCCCGATATCAATTGGTCGATCCGTGGCCCGTTGGTTGGGGACCACTGCTATAGATTATTCTGATGATTAATTTAGTAATCACATAAAATTTTCTAAAACATATATATATATATGTTGCATGCTGTTGCAAAAATTAATATAAATGTACACACGTGCGTGTGTGTGCACGTGTGTACATGTGTACAATGTGTACAATGTAATGAATACAAATGTTTTTATTTGACATTTTCAGAAAAGGCTCCAGTCGTTTTCTGACAGTCAGGAAGAGAGATGTTTCAGACAAACCTCGGCCCAGTACATCTCTTGATCTGTGCCCCAGCTCCTTATATTTCATCCGCAGCCTGCTGCAGAGATTTCCCACCAGCAAGAAGGAACGTGCAGACATGCATCCCAACATCAAAAGTGGCATGTCTCTGGCTACAGAAACTAGTGATTATCTGTGTGTGTGTGTGTGTGTGTGTGTGTGTGTGTGTGTGTGTGTGTGTGTGTGTGTGTGTGTGTGTGTGTGTGTGTGTGTGTGTGTGTGTGTGTGTGTGTGTGTGTGTGTGTGTATCTATATTTGATGTTGTGAAGGGCACCATACAAAGTTGAAAGGAGAGTAAAATGCACCTTAGATTTGGAGTTGGACAGAGGACTTAAACTTTTCCCTCTGTCCAACACCAAAATACAACAGAAAAACTTTAGACAAATTTTGAATATTTGTCAGGCAGTGTAACTCAACTCCTGTGCAGTGTGTTTGCACATGAGTGTTTGGTCACATAGTAACTGATGTGTCATGTCTTGCTCCTCTTTTAGACAGCGGCTTTGACAGGAACAGAGCAAGTGGGCGCCTAAACAATGGCATTCCTATGGTTCCTAGGAAGAGGGCGCCATCAGAACTGGACATTTTCCGAAGCTCCCTGCCTGTACATGAGCACCAGGAGGAGATTGTCAGACTGATCAGAGAAAACAGAGTAGTACTTGTTTTGGGAGAGACTGGCTCTGGAAAAACTACACAGGTGAGTGTTAATGCAGGTGTATTTAAAGTAAAGTTTTCTTTTTGGCTTATCTTCTCTCTTCAAAATCTTCCTATAATTGGCATTCATTTATTTCTTTTCATTGAAAGCTTTTTGTACTGCAGCATCAGTTTTAAGTTTCTGCTCGTATGACAGTTGATCAGGTTTTTCTCTAGTATAGAAACTGTTCAAAACTAGCCTTTCCAAACCAAAATAATTTTTCAAGTTACCTAAATCTGTACCTTTTTAAAAAGCATGTAATGTAAATGTTACATGATACATTTCTGCTTTTTTATGTTTGATTTGTTCTTGTGTAGATAAAAAATAATTCTGTATTTTAAAACTTAATAAGCTATGAAATGACACTTGATGACAGAACCTGACAGTATGCTCACAGGTGAAAGGAGATGTACTTCTGTTAAAAATACATAAACAAAACATAATTTTAATTGTATATTCATTAAACAGACGGTAAGGAAATGTAGAAATAACAAAATCCATAAGCCTTAAAAATATGCATAACATTTGAAAGCTGTTCTGTAGGTTGGAATTATGGAAATGACACTACCACTGTCTCTAAAATACTAATTACTTCTGGAATGTTTCTGTTCAGATTCCCCAGTTTTTGTTAGATGATTGTAGCAGAAATGGAAAACCCTGCAGGATTTTCTGTACTCAGCCCAGGCGCCTGGCTGCCATCGCTGTGGCTGAGAGAGTTGCAGCCGAGAGAGGGGAGAGTGTTGGCCAGACAGTTGGTTATCACATCAGACTGGAAAGCAGGTACATTTAACCTAAGCTAGTCAGATTCTATTTGGAAAAGACATAGAGCTGTAAAACTATTTAGAGCAAAATCTTGGAAGGAAATCTGGGAAAAAGTACACATCTATTGAAGGGATTTTGGATGTTTTTCTTGATTATACTGGGAAGCCAGTCTTCCCAGATAATCTGGAGTAGAATTAAATCGTCATGTTTTGACCGTACATAGCTGATCAGTGGTCACTGGATAGTAAGTCACAGCATAGACAAAATATTATTTTATATTTATTTAATTTTTGTTTTAATTTGTTTTTTTTTTAAACACTTAATTTTTTTTCTCTTTTTTTTTATTCTTCCTCTGTTTAACACTGTTCTTGAATTTTTCGCTGGTGGTTTCTGTATGTAAGAGGAAGATTACAAGGGAATGTATTTCTTCAGTTTTTTCTGAAATATACTCAAGTTCAATAAAGAAATTGATTTAAAAAAAAGCTGGATGGAAAGATACTGCAATTTTTTCCAATTTTATAGCTACTCTTTGCATATTGTTAGCATTTTATGTGATAAGCCAACCCAAAATACCATGATTGTTAAGTAGAAGAAAAGGGATTCATGCTTTTTTTTCTTTTTTTACATATAAAAATCTGAAACATGTTGAAATGAAAGGAGCCCATACAAATAACAGATTGTATCCTGAAGCAGGCTAATTTACAGATATAATACAGAGGGAAGATTGTTCAAAAGACCATCTGTCAGCTTTTGAAAATTGCCCTCTTCCTCTTGAGTTCTTAAAATGTTTAGCAGCTGCTTTTTATTTTGTAAACCTCAGGGTCTCGCCCAAGACACTGCTAACCTTCTGCACAAGTGGAGTCCTCCTCAGAACACTGATGGCTGGGGATACCAGCCTCACAACCGTCACCCATGTCATTGTGGTGAGCATTAGTTCCATAAATGTAGCATCTTCAAGCTCATGATTGTAGCCAGACGCAACTGGCTACAATTGTGTCTGGCTACAATTATGGAATAAAGCACTGATGCTTTATTCCAGTCTGAGGCCAGTATTTGGAATATGAAAAACAGTATGTACTGACTTATGTAGGTTTTTGATTTCTCAAATTTCTACAACAAATTCAAGAGTAGTTATAGTTCTGGTAGTGGGGCTAAAATGTAATTTTTAACTTGTAGCTTGTGTTTTGTGGTAAAATGACCTCATAATTTTGTGGCTTGGTCTTTCCAAACAGGATGAGGTTCACGAGCGCGATGGCCTGACTGACTTCCTTCTTACTAAGATGCGGGATGTTGTCCAGAGGATTCCCACACTGAAGCTGATTCTCTCTAGTGCAGCTCTGGATATAGACCTATTCCTCCATTACTTTGGCTCCTGCCCTGTGATCCACCGTAAGTCTTTTGAATGTTTGATTTTTCCAACAATTAAGCATCCATCCATATACCTGCATAATAACTGAGTGCCTGTTTTTACATCAGCTCACAGTAGCTGATGTAAAAACCCTTAGAATAGGCTAATCTCTACACTGCAAAACAAAATGTTCGCCCTGCAATCAGTGGATCACACTTCATCTTGCCTGCTTGTATTGGTCAGAAGGGCTGATGGTGCAAAAAATTTGCAACCTAGCTTCAATCCAGTAGGTTGTCATCATCAGTGTGTCATTGTGCCTTTTGAGATTTCAGTTGGATAAATAAGAGCTATGATTAATAAAATGTATTATTATTATTAATAAAATAATTATTAATGAATTAGGAGGGAATTGTAACCATAAAAGTAGAGTCAAGAATGCATTTTCGCATTTAACCAAGATTAAACAACATTTAGTTTGTCTTTAGTATAGTTACAGCTTGAGCTTCATAATTGCCTTGCCCTTTCTTGAAACCAGTTATTTGTCCTTAGTTATCAGAAATGTGGAAGGGTTTAATTGTAAGGTCTATCTCCACCTCCCCTGTTTTTTTTGCAGCAGTTTCCAATGTTGTAGCAGAGAGTGTCAACCCAACAGCAGATGTGGTCAATGTCACATCTGCTGAGTGCACGCCCTCCAGGGGAGAGCAGTGCGTTTCCAAATATCCACTTAGAGCAGCCTTCAGTCCTTTGCAGGAATTTCTCATTTCTCAATACTTTTTAAAATGCAACAACAGAGGTGTATAACTAGCTGCAGTGCATGATAACAGAAGGTTGGTGAATTTATACTAAATTTATGGTTAAAATTTATACTAAAATTATGGTTAAAATTTTATGAACTACCTTATAGTGGAAAGCTCCTTCAGTGATAGACTGCTTCATCTGAAATGCATAGGTGCATTATAGAAGGTCCTTCCTTCCAGACTTTATAAAGATCATTGATCCCAACAAAACCAGTGAGTTATTTACATTCCTGCTGTTTTTTTGTTTTTTTGTTTTGTTTTTTTTTGCATATTCCTATTATTTGCAGTTTGTTTCACTTGCAGTTTTTTTTTTACTGATGTATGTTAATTAAAAAGACATATTTTTCAAGAGATTACTTAGTTGAAAATTTCTCTTAAGTAAAGCATACAATTTTTAATAACTGAACAGTAATATTTGTTTCTACATGGACTGTTATTCATATTTTTACATTGTTTATCTTTGAGTGAATATGCATTCTCACACATAGATTTAACTTGATGACATACACTGGTAGTTTCCCCATGTTTCTGGATCTCTGAAATACTTAATTACTACTTATTGTTAAGAAAATTATTACTCATCATTGAAAGAAAAAAATATTCCAAGCAGTTCAAAACGGAACTTTCACAGCCTTTCTAAAAGTTTTAAAGTTGATTTATAAAATTCAGAAGATTATCTCCTGATCTGATTTATTTAAGAATTCCTTTCACCATGGCAATGTGTTAGTAATCACTTAATCACTGAGGACCTCTCTCTGTTTGTAGTTAAAGGGAAACAATTTGAAGTGAAAGAGCTCTTTCTGGAAGATATCCTGAGGCAGACGGGCTTTAATAGAAAGGACATCTGGAAATATCAGGAAGAGACTCAGAGAAGTATGAAGCTTTTCTTTTTTGAACCTCCTCCAGCCTTGTCACTGATTTCATGTTAAGCTCCACTGTCCATGTGGTATTCAGAAGAGGGGAAGCAGAAACGATTGACAGAGTGGTGTGAGACGGTGGAGAGCAGTTCTGTTGGTGGGAAACGGACCCACATGTTGGCTCCAGGCTTCCTTCATGCTGCCAGCTGTGGGGACAGAGAAGATGAGGGCTCCATCAAACTGGCAAGCCAGACACAACATTATATACTATGAAGCATTAACAATACACACTATTCCCTCTTCGACTGGATCTGATGTTTGTTTTAACATTTTAGCCTTTTGACACCTCATGTATTTTAATTTTAAGTTTTTTCTTCACACTGACAAAAAAGAGACTGTAAGAGAAACAACATTTAGACTTTTTTTCACACTTTAAAGAGATTTTTATCATTAGTTGCCTGAGCCTTGTCAGCTCTCCACTCAGTACTTGTCGTCTTTTTCTTTAATACTGCAACCTGCCTATAGGTCGGTGCTAAATGTGAAAGTAAAAAGTTTAAAAAGTGTCAATTTAGCAGGAAACAAGCTTTTAATCAAAGCTAAGTTTTGCTACTAGCAAGCAGCCTTTTGAAAAGTAACAACTTTTTCAGATTTTTTTCATTGATTATTAAAAGAACTTTAACACAGTTTTATGGACAGCTTTTAAACAAGATAAAGTTCAGATGAACCTTTAGGTAATAACAGATAATGATCCACTTAAAGGTGATTAATTCTTACATTCTGTGTCAGACATTTTGTGTGGCCATTTTTTAACCTACCTTTTAGATTTAACAAAAAAAGAAATAGAAATGTTTCAATCACATTATAAAAAAAGAAAACACAGAAAACAAGTTGCTTTAAAACGCCTCAGAACAGAGGTAAACCAGGGGTCTGTGGCACGACAATAACCAGGAATTCAGACCAAAATATTGCAGATGGTAAGTATATGACTTACATTTGAAAATGAAGAATTTAAAAGCATATGTTCACTTGATATGCACATTGCACAATATGAATCTGGATCCTAGAACTGGACTGAAAATGAGAGAAACAGTGAGTTTTTCCTATGCAACACTTTAAAACAACTCCAGAAAGCCTGAACAATTTTTCCATATTTCCCTTATGTTTTTTACCATCTGAGTGAAGTGCTGTCAGCAGAACAGATTGTCTGTGAACATTTTGTTTTGTGTCACAGAACGAAAATGACACAGAGCAGCTTGAACCGTGGCTGCTGCGGGAGATGGACTCCTGCATTTCCAGCATTTTCCTACATGAAGACCAGGAGGCTTTCAGTCAACTCTTCAACCTCATTCTAAATGAAAGCGTCCCTGGTAAGAGTCTCTCTTCACATCTAACTTGTCTACATACACTAAATTTAATTTGAATCTTTAATGACATTACATATGATGTACAGAATATAGCAGACCTATCAGGGAGGAAATAAGGAAGGTTAAAACAAATTCACCGTATTTTCCGGATTACACGTTGCTCCAGAGTAGAAGTCGCAGCAGCAATAAAATGTATAACAAAGAAGAAAAAGACATATATGTCGCACTTTTGAGGGAAATTTATTTGATAAAATCCAACACCAAGAACAGACATGTCATCTTGAAAGGCAATTTAAAATAAAAATAGAATAGAGGAAACAACTAGCTGAATAATTCTATGGTATGCTACCGTTACATGATAAACAACGAACTGAGAATGTGCCTGGTATATTAACATAATATATTAAGAGTTATTCAGAAAACTATTGCATAAATAACATGCTAACAAGTTTACCAAGCCATCCATATCACTCCAAATCATTAAATCGAATGAAATCTTCATCATCGGTGTCCCTTGTAGAAGGTAGAAGAATACAGGCCTAGAGCGCCCTCTTGCGGTTTAGTGTGAAAATAACATGTGACATGATATAATAATGTGTTAATAATTTCACACATAAGTCGCTCCTGAGGATAAGTCGCACTCCCGGCCAAATTATGAAAAAACTGCAACTTATAGTCCGGAAAATATGGTAGGTTCTAAAACTATATCCCACACTTTGAACAGTCTCACATAGCTCTGGTCAGTCCTTCCTCTGAGCAGTGGACCAGCACTTTTCAACACATGACTGTCCACAAATACAACAGATCTTGATGTATAGAAGATTTTTCCTGAATTTTTATTACATATAATCTCTATTAGAAACAATGAAATTGGTGGAATCTAGAGAGAAGTGGATGTTATTTAGTGCTTTTGCAACAACAATCAGAGTAGTAGCAGCATAGGGTGAAGTAATATGTAAGCTGAACTATGAATGTACTGTTCTCTGATGAATTTTATTTCAAGAATGCCATTAGTCGCAGGTTATGTGTGTAAAAATACCAATTTTATTGTGAATATGGAAACTTAATACTGTAGAATAAAGATGATGCTTGGATGTCAGTGAAAAACCAAAACAGATAAATATGCTCTTATTCATAAAGTAATGCATAATGAAAGCAGATTCGGGTGAAGGATCTTTCTTCTGTCCTGAATTGTGGTTCAGTGGACTTCATGCACAGTGAGACCGGCTCCACGGCTCTGATGGTGTCAGCAGCGCGGGGATTCCTTCCACAAACGCAGCAGCTGCTCAGTATGGGTGCTGATATCAACATAAAGGCTTCTAACGGATGGTAGGAAGGCACACATTTCTTTTCTATAATGCAAAGCTTTGATTACAAAGATTAAAGTGGCTTTTAATATTTGTAATTAAAAGTAGGCTTATGGTACCAACTCAAAAGATGGATAGCTTGAATAATGGAGTAAATGACACAATATAGTCTATTAGCTTTGCTTTGATGAAAACATTTAAAGCTGGTTAAGACATATGACTTTTTTTTTTACATTTCTTTTCAGGACTGCCTTAGATTTTGCTAAACACTTCCAGCAGTCAGAAGCAATGGATATCCTCAAGTCTTCAATGTGAGTCTATTAAACAGTGTAGAATGGTCCATAAGCAATGGATCATTAGAGGTTGCAACCAATGGAGCTCAATAACTCAATTATAGTTATGTATCAGAAATTCTAATCAGTCTCAAAAGTTTGATCTGAGATCTGAAAAGTCATCCTTTCACTTCATCAATGAGTCGTCGTTGCATACTTTGTCAGAAGGAATGTGACAAATGTATCCTAGCAATATATTTATTGCCAGAATCACAATAAGTTATTGCCTCTGCCACCACCCTGATGACACCAAATCAAATTCATTTTCAAAGAAACTGAAGATCCCTGATCTGCACTAGTCATGCCTGCTGTCCTAGTTGCCTTTGATATTGCTGGAATGATTCTTGGATTGACATCAGCACATAAACAAAGCACAAGCCTGGTACCTGCAGAAGCACATGATTGTTTACTTAAATATTTTTTGGGAATAATTGTGAATACAATAAACAATTAAAAGCAAAACAGTTATTTTGTTTCTGTGCAGACCTTTGGGGGAAGTGAGCAGCCTGGAGGAATCAGCATTGGTACAGAGCAGTCCTACAGAGCTGAGCAGTGAAGAACAAGAGCTTCTCAAACAGTACCATCACAGCTTTGATGACCAGCGGGTGGACCTGGATCTCATTATGACATTGCTCCATAACATCTGTACCACCACTAATGAGGGTGAGTTTAGCATTAAGGCAGACAAACCCCTTCTATCCAGTTTGAACTGTTTTCTTTACACTCTGGGGTCATTTGCAGTGTCACAACTTGCTTTTTGGACTTCTGTTATTATAAGTCAGTAAAAAAGTGTTACACCTGAAACTGTTCTAACTGCAGAAAAACTGAACAATACGCACATTATGAAAAATCTCTACTATTATATGCAGTAGCTGATTATAGGTGCATAAAATAATATTAGACAAAATCTGCCTGAAAGATGATAAGAAGTATATACTTATTTCATGACAACAGTTTTTATGCTGAGTTTTCTCTGTACAGTTTTGTTTTTTTCATCAACAAACATGAAAATTGTAGGTTTTCACTTTTCAAATGTTGATTGCTTTGTAGTGGTAATTTGCTCATCACGTACCAAAAGCATACTGGTGAAACTTGAAACTCTTTACACAAAGGCAGCATTCAATAATCTGTTTTATGACCACAATGAAATTTTTCAGGAGTATAAGGATTGCAGTTTTCAGGCTGATGACAGATTTTTAAAAAGCCAGATTATGATTTCAATTTTGATTAACATTTTTTTGTCTGAAGAGCCAGAAAATGTAGCAACAAAGTCGCTAAGTTTGCAACAGTTGGGTGCCTATAGAAGATTTTTCCTGAATTTTTATTAGTCCTCAAGTTGGACTTGGTGGGCAGGTTTGTCAGTCAGCCTCCTTAAAATGGGGCAGTGGCTTACTTTCAGATCCTTTATAAGATCAGTGGATAAGCTCTCAACAGAGATGGATAGACAGATTTAAGATTTTCCCTCAGGAAAATTGTTATCTCCGTCTCCCATACAACACTCTTAGGTATACATAAAAACACTTCAAACATTAGAACATTAAAAGCTTAGCCAAACTGGCTGGCTGACCAGTCTGGCTAAGCTTGGTTATTCACAACAGTGTATGACAAGGCACTTACAATATCAGATTGATAAAACAACCTCAACATCTTTCTGCAGATGTTGAAAGACCCCTTCCTCCTCAGATAGTACTTCCTTGTCTCCTTGGTGTTGTCCAGTCAAGTTTGTTGTCCAAACACAGACCAAGATATTTATAGGACTGCATGATCTCCACTCCCTCCCCTCCTGTCAGAACCAGTCTTGGGCTGCCTCTGTCCCTCCTGAAGTCAATGACCAGTTTGTTTGTCTTGGATGTGTTTAGCTGCAGGCTGTTTGTATGGCACCGGCAACAAAGTTCCACATCAGACTCCTTTACTCTTTTTGATGTCTTTGATGCACCCCATGATGGCAGTGTCATTGTCATACTTCTAGATGTGATACATTTCAACATTGTTACAGAAGTCCCAGGTGAATAGGTTGAAGAGGATGGGTGAAAGTATTGTATCTTGGGGGGCTCCAGTGCTGGTGGCCAGTCCTTTATCCTGATAAATTGTAGCTGAGGTAGCTGGAAAACCAATCAAACAGGCAGGAGTCCTCTCTCATTCTGGTAAGTTTTTGCAGAAGGAGACGACTAACAGTGCCACTTCAGGTGCGAGCAAGTATGTATCAGCCAATTGCCAAGCTCCTAAAATTAAGAAAATTAGAGAAAATTTCTCTGTTGACCAATTAATGGTGCACTCCTAAAATGTTCACAATTTCTCCCAAATCTGAAGCACAGTAGAAGCCACTTCGATTTTTCCTCAATCTGATTTTAAGTTTTTCAATTGTTTGTGGGAACTCGGAAGACTGTGGGAATTGTATAGTATTCTGACAATTTAACTTTATGTTCTGCTTACTTTCTTTCTCAAAACTTCCCCTTAGAAGTTTTTTTTCTTTCTTAGTTGGTAGTAAAGAATACTTGGTTTGTGAGTTATCTAGTTTTCAACTTTACTCACCACAGCATAAACTGTGCAGGAATGTGAAGTTTTATCTTGTCGTCTGCAGGTGCTGTCCTCGTATTTCTTCCTGGATATGATGAAATTGTGTCATTGAGGGATCGCATCCTCTTTGATGATAAGAGGTTCTCCACTCACTCCGAGAGGTAATAAGGCAAAAAAAAAAAAAGCATTGCAAAGGTCTAATAGTACTGTATAGTAAAACCTGTAAAAACCTGTCAGAAACTGTTAAAAGTTATTACTGTAATCTAACTAAATTTAGTCATTGTGATTTTAGTCGGGCTGTAATAAGTACTAAATGAATGCTCTGACGGTTGCATGAGGAGCTATGTTGCAGAGATTTGTGCATGTAGCCTCTCTGGATAGAGACTGGGACTCCCTCAGGGACTCGCATCCAGGATATAGGAGAAGTACAATTATACAGGGATTATTAGGGAACTGCACTAATGCAATGTGCAGGTGTGTAAAAATCATTTAGTAACAGCTAAATGACAACAACAAAACCTTCTGAACTGATTATAATGTGCTGTGATTTATGAACTCAAAACCATTTGAAAAAAGCACATTACCACTTAATATTTCAGATTAGGGAATACTTTTGGTAATTGTTCAGTTCTTTGCCAGTTGTTATATGGTGGACTGTGGATATAATTTTATTCTGACCAATGTTTGACTCATGAGCCAGACGCGTTTATTGGCACAAGGCAAGTTTCTCTGAATTGGACTAACTCTGTATTTGCAAATCTTTCTGTATAAGGTCTTTTTTCACTGTTTGTTTGGAGTGTATTGATCTGGACAAGTAGGACTTGCTTGTGGGATTGATGTGTCTTACCTCTCAGTTACCAGGTTTTCACTCTGCATTCTGACATGCAGACTCTGGATCAGAAAAGAGCCATGAAGCCAGCGCCATCTGGTGTCCAGAAGATAGTGAGTTTATTTGTCTCTGCTGTATATATATATCTATATCTATATATAGATATATAGATATAGATATATCTATATCTATATATCTATCTATCTATATATATATATCTATATATAGATATAGATATATCTATATCTATATATCTATATATAGATATAGATATATATACATATATAACATCCTGTCAGAACCAGTCTTGGGCTGCCTCTGTCCCTCCTGAAGTCAATGACCAGTTTGTTTGTCTTGGATGTGTTTAGCTGCAGGCTGTTTGTATGGCAGACTCTGGATCAGAAAATAAGCTAAATGTTGTTTGTCATACAAAGTTTTTTCTTGTCTCCAGCTTTCATCAGAGCCTTATAGAGCCTTATATAGATATATATACATATATATCTATATCTATATATAGATATATATATATTTATGAGTAAACAAATAAATAGGGATTAATTAACCAGCTTTCTTTCTGCTCATCCTTTTTTTTCAGATTCTTTCTACTAACATTGCTGAAACAAGCATTACTATTGATGATGTGGTCTTCGTTATTGATTCAGGAAAGATCAAAGAGGTACTTGTCCCAGAAAAACACTGAAATAACCAGGTAGTTTTAGTTTGTTTTAATGCTGTTTGTGTGTTTTTTTTCTGTTGTAGAAGTCCTTTGATACGCTGAGTCGGGTTTCTATGTTAAAGACTGTTTGGATCTCAAAAGCCAGTGTTTTGCAAAGAAAAGGAAGGTAAGATTTGAATATTACTTTTTCCTAGACATTACAACCTTGCCTCGACCGTAATATTGGCATTGTTTGAGACACACTTGGGAACAGAAAGGCAGGAGCTGCTCTTATAAGTTTGATCTCCGCGAGCAAGTTTTAATTAGTAAATGAACCGACTGTAATAACTTTCTACTTTTACTGACCACACACCAACACCCAGATAAATGGGCAACTTGATGTTAGGTGACTTTGACATGTTACAAAGCAACCACTGGAATACTATGATTGAAAGTTGTACATTAAATTTAATATCACTATTACATCGTCCATAAAAGTACGATACACATATTTTTACTTTTATGCTGCAACCTGTTCTTGTTTAGTCATTTGTGGCAGGCCAATCTGCCATGTTATTTATGCATGCTGATGTATGTTGTGTGTGTACACCGTGTGCATAATCAGGGTTGATTTTATGATTGACTAACTAGAGAGCTTCCAGTCATTCCCAAAATGGTCAGCTGTCACCAGTTAAGCTGATTTCCAGTGAAACAAACTCTTTTCTCATCAATCCATAAAACCCTAAGAAAAATCTGTCTTCAGATATTTTATAGCAAACATGGATATAATGTTTCAACTTAAGTTTCTTGTTCAGTAGTGGTCATGTCTCTGATAATTGATAACAGACTAGTTGGGATCATCAAAATGTTTTGGTAAGAGCCAGTATAATGAGATCATTTTCTAATTTACTTTTTCCAAAGACATTTGTTTACTGCCTTTCTTGTGCATTTGGTTAAATAGCTTTCTATTCTCTATGACTTGGCTCGGGTTTTCTGGATATCGCAAGAATCATTTTTGCCCTGGTTGTAACTTCCTGAGAAATTGCTTCAGTATTTCCATAGAATGCTCATTCCTCAAGTTGGTACTATGTTCTCAGACTTCAGTCTTCTGACGCTTTCACATTTAGCACCAATGCATATATGTCATTGGGACACTCAGACAGCCTCTTAACTACTCTTTAAAGTACCTTTTTTACTCAAGTAAATGTAACCAGTACTACCCACTTTTGAACACAGACATCAGTAGCCTATAAGCTACTTGTCAACAAGCTTAAGGTGCTGTATTGTTATTAACTAGTCATCTTTTAGCTAACAATACCTGTATCCAACAGCATTACTCAACTCAGTCGTTTAGTTTAGGGCAGTGCTTCTCAAATAGTGGGGCGGGCCCCCTTTGGGGGGCGCGGTGCGATACCTGGGGAACAGGCTTTTTTTTGGCCGAACTAGTATAAAGTGTAATTGCGCACAGTAGGCGTCAGTGGCGCTCTCATTGTTACTTCTGTCACGTTTGCGACAGTGCAACATTTTACGACTTACAATACAACAGGTTTGCCTTGGTTAGCAGTGTTAAGTCAACAAAAAGCTCCGACTGCGTTCTGTCTCTGGCCTCCGTTATTCAACAACCCCCAACATGAAAAAGTTTTTCACAGGGATGAAAAGAAAAGCGGAGAGAGACAAAGATAATGAGACAACAGAAAGTCAACCGAAAGCTAAGAAGAGGAAATACGACGAAGCGTATTTAGCGCTTGGCTTCACTGTGACTACAGTTGGAGAAGAGGAAAGACCGTGTGTTTGCTGTGTCTAAAAATGCTCGCAGCGGACAGCATGAAGCCAAATAAATTAGCGCGTCACTTAAATACGTTACATCCCAATCACGCCGATAAGCCGCTAGAGTTTTTTCAGCGAAAAAAATGTTAATAAGGAAAAAATGTTATGCAGAGATGGATAGTCACGGTGGGGAATGGGGGGCGCGAATAGTTTTCTTCTTGCTAGGGGGGGCGTAACGGAAAATAATTGAGAAGCACTGGTTTAGGGGAAAATTGTGCAAAGTTCTTTGCGTTTTGGTGGTTTGCTGCCATGATTCTATCACACACCTAAGCAGCTCTGCACACTAGCAGCAGGTCTCCTTTGCTGCCGCAAAGATGTAAGCCCAGCACGAGGGTTTTAACGCTCATGTTGTGTTTAAAGGCGGCTCAGTAAAACATGTTTCAATGTGTTAACAACAAATTAAACAGTTGTAACTGCTGAAAAAATGTGACAGAAGGCACAGATATAGAAAGTGTGGAAGCCCCTTCTGCAGGGGTGCCCAAAGTCGGTCCTCGAGAGCTGGCATCCTGCATGTTTTAGTTCTCTCCCTGGTGGTAGTATTAACCTTTTCAGTCTGTCAGTGTTCTTGTTAGGCCTTCTAATGAGCCATCATTTAATCCAGGTGTGTTAAACCAGGGAGAGAACTAAAAGATGTAGGATCCTGTCCCTTGAGGACAGACTTTAGGCACCACTGTCCTACTGTATGAAATTGATATAGGAATAACAGAGAGTTGGGCACTTTAAGGTAAAAACAACGAACAGCTTCCAATCCGGGGGGGGGCGGCTGACTCTGCAATGCCCGCCAATGCCGCCGGGCCTGTACTCGGATGTTAAGAATTGAGTAGCAAGAAGAGTCATACAAAACCACACCGGATTATCCAGCCTTTTTATAATTGCACCTAGGCATAGTAATGTTATGTTATGTTTACATTTTAATTGAAAAAGTATTCCAGCTCAGTTTCAGTTTGGTCTCTGTGCAGAGCTGGTCGCTGTAGACCTGGGGTTTGCTTCCATCTCTTCAGTCGTCTCAGATTCAACAATATGCAAGAGTTCCAGGTTCCACAGCTGCTGCGAATGCCACTGCAGGTACACACTACCTTTATATTTACCAGCCCAGCTTTTATTCTCATAAGACACAATCATGTGGAAGTGTCAAATGTTGTGGTGATGGTTATTTAGGTTATTCAGCAAATTATAGTCGGAACATTTTCTGAAAAATGCAGGATTAAAACATATTTGCTAACAGCAGAACCCTTACAAGATTTTTTCTAGGATGTAAAAAGTCCTCTAAATGACTAGAAAATGTGAAAAAAATGAGTCATGAAAAATGAACAACAAACTGATGGTGAGAGTTTGGAGGATTTTAGCAGGTGTTCGCAGGTGATGGAAACTCAGAGGCTGTAGAACAGACAGAACATTAAGTCATGTACAGTTACTTCACAATAAAAGGTATTGTGTTTTTCAGGAATTGTGTCTACAGACCAAGCTGTTGGCTCCTTCATCCTGCCCCGTTGCTGAGTTCTTATCTAAAGCGCCACAGCCACCTCCCACACATGCAATCCAGAGTGCTGTACAGATGTTAAAGGTAAATTTTTTTCCCCAAGGTCCATCATGCAACTGATAGTGAAGTGGCTGTGAATGCATGCTAACGAGCCGATGTGCCCACTGGCTAATGTATTCTAGCTCGTAAAGGTGCATTCCTTATGCCAACCTTTCTCTCAGACAATAGATGCTCTGGACCAGAATGAAGACTTAACCGACCTGGGCTTCCACCTGGCTGATTTACCTGTGGAGCCCCACCTGGGGAAAATGGTGTTGTGCGCTGTTGTGCTCAAGTGTCTGGACCCCATTCTCACCATTGCCTGTACTCTGGCCTATCGTGACCCTTTCACCCTTCCTGCTGAAAGCTCCCAGAAGAGAGCTGCTCTGCAGAGCCGCAAACGTTTCACGTCCAACACCTTCAGTGACCACATGGCCCTGCTCAGAGCTTTCCAGGTACAGACGTTTGCCTTTTTCACTACTAACCACAGTCCTCGTCTTCCGGTTATCAGCAGTTGTCTCATCAAAAGGCTTGTTAAGCTTGAATTTGACCTCAGTCGTTTTGAAGACACGCAGAGATTTCATAGATACTCAATCTTTTTCTTCTTCACAATTGAAAAATAAAGTAGTGAAAATAAAGTACTGGGGATTTTAACAATGTAGGGAAAACAGAATTGTTTCTTTCTGGCTAAAAAGAATAGTAAATTACCCTGAGAAGTGATGAGGTCCACCATACCAACTGTTAGTAGTCTTTCCAATCTCTGCTCTAATTTCATGAAAATATGTCAAGTTGAGCTGAATGTGACAATGGGAGATATTTAAACCTCCCTTGTGTTAGGCATGGCAGAAAGCCCGCAGTGAAGGCTGGGAGAGATCATTCTGTGAAAGGAACTTCCTGTCCCAGTCTACCATGGACATGATTCTTGGCATGAGGACACAACTTTTAGGGCAACTTCGTGCTATTGGTGAGTTTGACTTTTATTTTCTTCTTATTCATTTGCTGCAAAGTGTTAGAATAAAATAAAAACCACTGAAAAGTCAGCAAAAAATCCTTAAAATACTTAGTGTAATTTGAGGTTTTTTTGCATCTCTTCTCTAGGAACACTTCAGGACCCATTGTGGGATCTTAAGTTAATGGTATATGTGGATATTTATGTCGAACTGTCTGATCTGAATTTTGGTGTTGTAGTATTATTGTGGGGAACTGTTTCACACAGTAAAAAATTTGTTAGTTTTAAATTTTCAAGCATTTCTGACTTTTTACTTCAGAAACGACATTAAAAATTCTGAATTGGCAATAGTTTGCCTTAGAAATGTTCCTCCTGTTCATTTCTTTGTGTTTTAGCCCCTGGCATGTTGACATATTTATAAATTTTATAAGCACTTTGGTTATTTTTGTTAATGGAGCTTTTTCTTTGGTCGGCCAGGTTTTGTGCGCGCCCGTGGGGGCAGCGATATCCGTGATGTTAATCTGAATTCTGAAAACTGGGCTGTCGTGAAAGCAGCCCTGGTGGCTGGAATGTATCCAAACATGGTTCATGTCAACAAGAAGACCTCCCTGCTCTCCAGTAACAGAGAGAAGAAGGTTCATTTTCATCCTACATCAGTCCTGAGCCAGCTGCAGTTGAAGGAGGTAGGAATTTAATTTTGCCAACACCGAAGCACAAAAATCTGAGAGAGAAAGTTCACAAGGAGCAGCTGCTCTGTTTTTGATGTGTTTAAGGTTAATAGGCCTAAAGCACTGTTGCCTTGCAGCAAGAAGGTTGTGGGTTAGAAACCCAGTCTGGGGTCGTTCTGAACGGAATTGGGATGTTATTCCAATGCATGTAAATATGACTTTCAGGTTAATTGCATTGTCCTGTTTTTGTTCCATCACCCAACAACAGCACTGCTCCAGTACTCTGCAACAGAGCTTTATAAGATCCGCTTACCTCTGCATGGCTCACCAGCTCTGTTCCTACATCGAGAAATTTGCCCCATCAGACATACATTCAGTATAACATAAAACTTCACTAACCTAAATCAATTTCACACCCAAAACTCAGATAGCGTTTAGCAACTTAACTTACCTTGATATGTTTTTTCAGATTCGATAGTGGAGTTTTGAAAACTAGAAGTTTATGCTTTCAGGGAGGCAAAGGTAGCACCAGAATCTCCAGGAGTCGTTTTTTGACCCAGTTAACTGGAAAAAATCTTTTAAATAAGGCCTTATGTCTCCTGGATGACTACCCTTGGTGAACTCCGTTTTGGGTTTTAATGATTCTGCTACAGACATGATTCACTTTCTCGCTTTGCAGTGGTTCAGGGCACCAATTCCCCTCTTACCATTGGTCACTTTCAAACTAATGAACAAACAAAAAACCACAATGTGATTTGGATGTAACGTGTAACGCAATTCTGCATAGAAATGTAGTTAAATTGAAAGTACTGGTACCCGCTGTACTGTAAAATGTAATGGAGTGAAAATCGAAAGTACCCAGAATTAAAACTAATCAAGTAAAGTACAGATACATGAAAAATGTAATCAAATATGTCCCACTACTAACAAAACCACTAGATTCACTTCCTCTTCATCTGTATCCTTCTGATTTTGGTAACATTTTTGTATCTTTTTTTTTTCTTCAAAAATAGCACATATCCACCAGCAACCTGTATTGACTGTTGCTTTAACATAATCTGTTCCAGTTCCAGTTGCCCCTATTAATTCACTTTCACACGCTCCTCAGTCAGTGAGGTCTCCAAATTAATTTAAAATCAAAATATTGAACCTGCCAATTAGATTCTCTTCCAACTGTTCTTGTCAAAGCTACCCTTCCCTCTCTCACCCCTTTCATTTGTAAACACAAGACTTCCTTTTGTTACCTAAATGACTCATTGACTGTCTAAGGATACAAAATTGTAATGTCCAAAGAAAAGCTTTGATATGGTGAACCTTTCCTCCAAATATTCAGCTGTTTTAATCAGACTGTTTGAGTATGTGCTTGTCTGAAACTGGTCAATCATTCTTTCTATGATTATGAGATATGAACTGTGTTAAAGAAAGGATTCTTAGGGATATGAAACTTTGTGTTCACTGTGTTTAGAACAACAGCTCCAAATTAGGTCAGACCCTCCCCACAGACTGGTTGATCTATGATGAGATGAGCAGAGGTCACAGGATGGCCAGTGTTCGCTGTTGCTCCGTGGTGACCTCCATCACAGTGGCCATGTTTGGAGGTGGTACCAAACTTCTTAGCTCCACACTCCATGAAAGTGCTGTACAGAAAAGAAATGGTAAGTAAATCACTCAGACTTTTCAAAAATCTTTTTTTCTTAAGTTTTTATATTTCAAGCACTTAGCCTTTTTAAAGGGTCAGAATTACAGAAATTAAAATTGACTTTTTTGAGCTCTACATTATCATCATAATGTTATTAATCATCAAAACCAGACCTGAAATGTTGCCTTGATTCTTGTTTAGGAAATACTTTAATTTCCTGTGGCAACCATTCTGGGTGCATAATTGCTTGCTCTGACTCCTCCTTGGAGCTACAGTCTCCAGCCAAACTTCCACCTTACAAAGTAGTGTTAAACCTTTCAGTGATTTATAAACTAACAACAGTATTTTAAAGTCTATTCTCTGAGCTCCAGGGAGACAGTGGAAGGATATTAGAACTCAGTGATATGCTCTATCTTCCTGGTTTTATTGAGTAAGCAGCAGTGTTCTGTATCAGCTGCAGCTGTCTGAAGCCCAGTTCACACTACACAATTTTTTGGCCCGATTTTGCCCTTACGACAATCTTAGAACATTCTGAGTTCTAAGATTAGGTCAGACATTCTGAGTTCTAAGATTCGGTCAGACATTCTGAGTTCTAAGATTGTCGCTTCCGACAATTGTAACCAATCATCCTGTAGTGTGTGGTGTGTTACGACTGATCGGTTTCAGTTGGTGGAACGTCGGGACCGCTTTGATCTAAAATCGGAGATATTGAATGTGTTTAATCATCTTGGCTCATTCATCGCAATATCTGTGGTGTTCCCCAGACTTGTTTTTATTTATTTATTTATTTATTTTTATTAAAAATAATTATAAAATTATTGCACAGATTACATCTGGTTGAGAAGCGCATTCCAATCTTTGGTTGAAATGGCGCATTTGATTTTATTATGCAGTCATAATACAATTTTAAACAATACAATAAGTTTCAATTAAAGGAGCTGGAATACGTTAAGCTTTTGCAGTCAGTTGGGAGTCACTGGTCCTGTTTGCGGTGTTTGTACCAACAAATTAACTTCTTATCAATATGCTGTCCCATCACTTTGCATCTTCTTCTTGAGTTAAGGATTTTTTTTCATGTGCTAAAAATCACTTCTTTCAATTGATCGATTTTCTGTCTCAAATTGATGAGAAACAACAAAAATAACTATTAGATTTTACTCTATGAAATCTCCCTAAGCCTAAAAAGATCTGAAGAAAGCTTGCCTCTGCAAATTAAGCAGGTTTCTGTGTTTTTTTCTGCAGAAAATCCTCTGGATGACATGAGTGACAGTGACACAGAAGATTTAGTGGAGATAAAGATTGACGACTGGCTTGTCTTCGGGCTCGAGAGAGAGGTGAAGAAATAAAAGCCTTGACATACGTTATCCAAAGTTGAACAGCTGACACAGAGTCATGTGGTTTCAGGCTGTTTGTATTTTCACACACCTTTCATGCAACAGCACAGACTACCGGTACTGCTTCAGTACATGTCACGCCTCTATCCGTGGAGGTCTCTCCTCCCTCCATACATTTTCTATTTTGCTTTTAGGAAATAGTCACTGAGCTTGGACGACACTTTTTTCCAGATAGCCTCTTCAGTGAACAATGGATTTCCCGGCTATTAACTCCTGGATGGTTTATAAGCAGGAGTGATTAACCATCCACCAGTCTTATCATAGTAATTTAGTGAAAAGTAGTACAAATATACCTAATTTGTATACTGTAAGTACAGCAAAAAAAGCATCTGAACAATCAGACAACACTTCGCACAGAGATACTTTGACCTGGGCCTGATGTCAAGTTCAACAGGCAGATGCCTCTCTGCAAACAAAATCACACAATTTTCATCACGTTTAGGTTAATGAGAAGTGGTTTCAGCACTTCACATGAAGCATGTAAAGCCCTTAAGTCCAGCTTTTAAAACTTTTAAATGTGGCGTTGAGTTTTTCATGTGTTTCCTTAGTTCTTAAACGTTTTTTTTGGTGAATCAAAATGTAAATGTGGCAGAAGGGATGATCCAGCATACTAGTGAATTCTTCTTATTTTATTTTATTTCAAATCAGTACATGGTATGACAAAATGTATCTATGTTATCAGAACATTCTGTGAAGATTTTCTTTTGTTACTGACTCATCATGTAATTTTCACATTTGTTTAGATTACCCATTCTCTGACAGACGTGTCTTTATGCTTATCTCCTGTTGGCTCTACTATTGTCAGACTGCAGCACTGGTATCTGAACTCAGACAGAAGTGGCAGAACCTGTTTATAAAGAGGATCCGCTGTCCTTCCAAACCCTGGTCTCAGCAGGACGAGGCAGTCATCCAGACCTTAGTGTCTGTATGTGCTCAACTTCATCATTGCTCTTCAGTTTCCCTTTGGATGGGAATTGTTCCTGTGTTTAATGCCTGCAGTTCACACTGACTGCCTCCAGGTGCTAGGTGCTGAGGAGCAGGAAGCTGGCCTGCAGCAGCCTACAGGGATTGGTCAGAGGCCTAGGCCTATGACATCAGAGGATGGGCCAAGGTCATCAGGGAGGAACTCCAAGGCCAGCCCCCAGCTGCCCTCTCACAACACAAATGACAAGTAAGCCAAAAATTATCATGTTTCATGGTAGTGTCTTGTTCTGGTTTCTCTTCTTTTATTTGATTTTTCTGTTTTTCTCAGTTTGCTATTTATGGTAAAAAAAAACGACCCTATCATGCTTTGGGTCTTTAAATTCTACAATTTTCTGATTTATGATGGGCTCTCAATATATACTATGTATATAGGTATATAGTATATACCTATATGATGATGTACATTTGCTCTAATGGCTTTAAAACAAGAATTGAATATTGTGCAGGGGGCTTCACAGTTTGTTGCCCTGCTGCAAGCTGAATTTGTCAAGAGTTTTTGAAACCTAGATGGGAAGAAAATTTAATTTTTTTGACTGGACTATAGTTTTGCCCTACAGACCTGTCCACATTCTAGTGAGGCTTTTTAAAGGATTTTGATTATCTCACGTAAATGTCAGCCAAACAGTTCCTGAATTATCAGTTCATTCGTCTGTTATCTATTAGTGTTGTTGATTTCATTTTGTTGGAGAAACTTAAAAAACCTTTCAGACCCTTATTAAGTGCAATCTTATCTTGATAATAAAATAAGTATTACGACTATGCCCAAATTTATACAGATGTTTCAAAAAACTTAAATAACAGTGATGGGGATTTATGATGGGAGTCATCTTAGATTAAGGAAGTTCGTCTATTAAGAAATGGATTTTATTCAGATTCAAGTTCATTATTATATTACTTGACAAATAATTATTCAGACTTCAGATGAGAGCTTTTATTAGAAGTTCAATTGTTAAGATATAGAATTCAGGACCTGGGTTTACTAGTTATTATTACATGAATACCATCACATATAGGAATAAAAAAATTAGTTGGCAGATAAATGTGCAAAATAATCAACAGAAAATAGTTACAGTTATATCTTCAGCAAAAGGAGAAATAAAATCTGTCTTTAAACAAAAGGTCAAGGGTGGGTGGCAGAAACAGTGGGAAGAAGAAGTTCCTGGCAGGTGGCTTTGGCCTGACTCAAAGAAAGAGAACAGGATCAAATGGAAAGGAAGAAATTATTGTTTCCAGATTATGTTTTATTCATACTGGGTTAAATATTACATCAGTGGAAAACATTCTACAGGAAAATGTGATTTTTGTTTTCCAGAAGAGACGGTGAAACATGTGGTATTATTCTGTTCCAAATTTTTCATTGAGAGGAGAAAACTGTCATGTATAACAAGATAATAAATTACAATTGAATATACAAAACATTTAGGACAAATGTTACACTTCTGAATAATATTTCCCTTTATTAAAATATCAAGAAAACAAAATTGATAGTGAGGATATAGTTGTGTTTTTTTCTTTAGCTTTAAAATCTGTGTGATTTATAATTATATAATCTGTGTAATATATTATTAGCATCCCAATCCACACTCCATTTCATTAGATGGCAGTAATGTACATCTAAAAGTTGCTTGCCAACCGTCATGTCTGTTGGTCATGCAGTTTGTAAAAAACAGCCTCCCACTAAACTTACTTTTTTGGCTCCTGGTGACAGTGTGCAGAGGGTGCCTGGGATTGTCGATAAAAGACAGAAGTTTCTGCGATGTTCTCCTCTCTGCCACTGTTGTCAGCCCACCTGATTTGTTTCTCCAGCCTGGTTAGGCCTACCTGGGAGAAGCTTCCATCACCAGCACACCAAGACAATAATTGATAAAACAGCCTAAACATCTTTCCGCAGATCTCATTCTGAGATTAGCCTCAGCGGCCTTCTTAGACTTTCTGCATAACGTCTAAGAAGGCCCAGACATTCTTAAACCTTCCGTATAAGAAGGTCTGAGCCTTCTTTTACAGCTGCTTTGTGTTACATGAAATAAACATTTTAGCTATTTTTGAAATAATAAGTTTAGCATACTCTTGGAGTGAATCAATGGAAGTCAGCATGATAGTGATATGCCACGTGCGATTTTATGCATTTATCATTTATTTTTATTTTTTACAACTTTGGCCTGACAAATGGCTAAGGGAAAAAGAGGAAGTGTGTCACAAACATCTAAAATGACACTAATTAGACAGCATAAACATAAAAACCAATAAATATATTAGTGTATTTACTAAAGTACAGGTGATAGATGTGGATGACAAATTGCATCTCAAAGCCCATGAGATAAATGTCGTACAATTTTTCAACATACTGTTAAAATGCAGCAGTCTGATTCATGTATTCTAGTGTCTGATCTTTTTTACTTTTATAAAAGTCTATCTCCAGGGCAGATAGAAAGTAGTGTGTTCAAAGTATTCACAATTAATATCAAACCTTACAGTTACCTACCATTTGGTTCGCCGTCTTCAACAGCTGACTACTTCCCCACAGGCCTCGTCGAATGCTGTCTTCTGACCTGCTGAAGACTAACTCCCACAGCAGAGATGAAGTCTCACTGGCCATCAAGAAGCTGTGGGATTATCCGTCTTCCTCCAGTAGTTCTTCCTGCTCTGTTACTCTGGATGGGCCCCCCGAGTCTCCCTCAGGAAAGGTAGGACATGGGCACTACATAGGACATTTAATGTCCCACAGGCCTCAACTGGTCCTTTAAGATGTACTACAGTGTCCCAGATATAAAAATTAGATATCAAGCAGGCATTAAGTATTTATTCTGAGTGAATTTCAGTGAGCAAGAGATGAGGACAGGTCTGTTGTTGCCAGAAGTAATTGCCTGCCCCAATTGAAACAAAGTATCTAATTTTCATCCATATTCCAACACAAACTTTACTCATTGTAACCTCATTCGCTAATGTAAGGTGCATACTCAATAAAAAGAGGATTGTGTGAGGCTAAAGGAGTTGTTTTACTTGTTTTGTTCCCAGCTGGTCTTAAAGTCTGTGTCTCAGAAGCCTACTGTGTCATCAGTCCGATACTTCATTATGAAGAGCAACAGCATCAGAAACATAGAGATTTCTCAGCAGAAAGGCATCTGGTCTACTACACCAAACAACGAGACCAAACTCACCCAAGCTTTCCTGGCAAATAGCTTCATAATTCTCATCTTCTCTGTCCAGGGATCTGGACACTTCCAGGTATCTGATTTCAGTTGACATTGTTGGTCTCCTCTGTACATGTCTTTGAATATGAGGCTGTCATGTTGTGTCGAGGTTTGTGGTAGGATCCACTTATAGAAGACGAAGGCCACCAGTGAGTTTGAAGATTTAAATCCTTCCTTATGATCTATATTAAGTAGAGCTGCAATGCTTTGGTCTGAATTCTTGGTTACTGTAGCTCCCCTGGTTTATCTCTGTTCTGAGGCGTTTTAGAACAACATGCTTTCTGTGGTTTTTAAAAATGTGAATGAGACATTTCAAGACCCACCTCCAGGTCACAGAGCCATTTTTAAATCATAGCAGGGGCACTATGATCTACCAGAAGATACATTTTTTATACCAAAGTTTATTAAAGATGTCGGCAATGAAAAACTTGTCCATCCAACCTTACATGTTGGAGCCAGAGTCTGACCCAGAACAGGAGAATGAAGACGACCATCCTGCAGAACTACGTATTCAAATAAATGCATCACAGTGGTGTTATTATGTGCGTTAATACACACTAGAACCAAACTTTTTGACTTGTTTGCTTACAACTTTGGCATAATTGAACTTGGACTACAAAATTGCTGCAAGAAAAAAAATGGCAGATTCACAAATTGGTGAGCCCAAAGTCCATGACTTTGTTTAGCAAGAAAATGCAACAAAGACAAGAAAATGAAATAGAGAGAAAAGAAAAATGAACGGACTGAAAAATGTAACCCAAAACAGAGTATAAAGATATCTACACTGCACCAGGAGAGAACAAATAATTTTTTTTACACTTACATGCTCAAAATATGCAAAAAATGTAGCAAAGACTAAAAATGTGGATTTTACGAGATATGTCCCCTGTAAGGCTTTCTAATTTTCGAAACTTTTGAAGAACAGGAACATTTCTGAAATGTAGCCAGGATTCCCGTTACTGCATACTGTCACTTAGAGATTAATAACAATTTTGTTGTTACATGTCAAAAATAAGTGTGAAGATTGTCCCAGAAATGTAATACATGCAATAATTAAAAAAAAAAAAAAAAAAGCATTCCACTGAAGGTGTGTGGTTTGCAGGGTTACGCTCGCATGACATCTGTCGTCAGCCAGGAGAGCTGCCAGGACTGGGGCTTCATGGGGCTCGGAGGAGTTTTCAGTGTAGAGTGGATCCATAAAGAGAGTCTTCCCTTCCCCTTCACCCAGCACATCCTCAACCCATGGAATGACAACAAGAGAGTTCAAGTCAGCAGGGATGGACAGGTGAGACTGCATCATAAGCTCAAACATACTGTAGCTACTTGCTGCAGATTCAGGCAGAACTGCCAGAAATGGTAAGCAGTGTTGGAATTTACAGTATGAGGTGGTTAACACCTCTAAGTTTCTCTTTAGCAAGGCTTAGGTTGTGTTAGAGCCATGGTATCGAACTCTAGTTGATATCCTGCAACTTTTACATGCGTCTCTGCTTCTTCACACCAGGATCCAGTATTATTTTATTTGCAGAGCTTTGTAGAACCTATCTGTATTCTAGCGATGCTGTTTAGCCATTTAATTCAAGTGTAGGACAAGGGACACGTGTAAATGTTTCAGGACAGCGGCCCTCAAGGACTGGAGTTTGAGACAACTTTATCAGAGGAAGCAAACATAAAGATGTCAATAAAATGAAAACTGATGTTGTGATTATGTGGATATTTTGTGTTGTGTAGGAGTTGGAGCCCCAGGCTGGCAGCCAGTTGCTGTCTCTGTGGGAGAGGAATTCTGGGAATCAGCTTCACTAATGTTGGACTCCTCATTAACTTAACAGGTATTCTAACTCTGTGACTGACTAGGAACCCCCAAACTTATTGACCATGGAAGGTAATATGTTTTCTGGGCACTCAGGGCACTAATGTTGCACATGTGCCATGTTTTGTTTGTATTCCACCTGAAGTGCCCTGCACCACCAGTTCGGACCTGATAACCAGAAAAACTGACTCATTCCACAGAGAAATGTCTCCTCTGTGCTGCTCTCAGTTCAAACTTTAGTTTTCACCTTTTCATTGTTTTCTCATTCTGTTAGATGTGTTTTGAAACAATATTTGTTGTATAAGGTGTCTGTACAATAAGTTTACAATAAAAAGAATGTGGCTCTGTAGATGTAAACAGGATTCATATGGGAGCAACCTTATTTTTGCTGTTGTTTTTCAATGTTTTGTTTTATTCTACTTGGTGTAATTGCCCTGTTTTTATCCAACTGACTTGTTTCTATTTAAAGCATATTGCTTATTTTTGTGAGAATACTCAAAGTCTGCTTTATTTGTTCATTAAAGATCTGTTTAAATGCTATATTGTAATTTTGACTTATTATTGCCTCAAAGATATAACTGTCTTGTTAAGGATGTCCTAATATTGAATGAATGTCCTTTTATCGCCAAGAGCCAGAGTATAATACATAATTGTACTGATGTTCAATCTCTTCTTGAGTTCCATCACAAGTAGAAGGAAGCATTATCCACAGGGTTTAGTTTCACCGAGTTAAGACAGATGCACCTTTATTCTCCATTGTCTGAAATGCAATCAGAATAAGCTTCAGTTAGAATTAAGAAAATGATTTCTGTTTGCTAAACGCTACAATATTAACATAAGCAATTTGTCAAATTTATTCAAATATGTCTTGAAATTCAGGGCCCAAAATCTGGCCCCTGATTTGGGCCCAGATTTCATACAGTTCATATTTTAGCCAAACATCCCCACCAAAGAGTCCTGGCTTAAGGCTGATTCATTCCCATCTTAGTGAGATGGTGTGGTTCACCCTGTTGCTAGGTATGACACTGTCTTCTAGGATGATTTTAAAGCAAAATAAGAAACAAAATAAACCAAATTCTGCTAATCAGTTGGCCTTGGATGACCACAGCTGATCAAGTCTTTTACCAGACAGGTCAAACTGTAAATGTTAATGAGTCAGTGGACTGTTTTGAACATTTTACATCTTTAGCAGTTGTCCTACTTTTTCTAAAACCACCATAGCCAGGTTCATCCATAAATCAAGGCCAAGAACAGCTTATAAGCATTGAGATTGTGTTTTAGTCTGTGACTGTGTATGTTAGTCATTCTTTACAACTTTGCAGTTCTACTCAGATAGCTGCTCCACTGTTGTTTCACTCCTTATAGGAGCATTGTTCTTTTTACTTGGATCGCGCTGAAGCATGGGAAGGAACAAACTGTCAGGGTCCCTGTGTGTGTCAGAGAGCGAGTGATGCATCTTTTCCAGTGAGGATCTTGGAGAACCTGGGCAGCTACAGAGGTGGAGCTCATCAGCCTCATCAGAGTGCTGGGAATAAAAGAGCAGCAGAGCCTTTATTCAGTGCTGGATGATTAACGTTTACTGGTAGTCTTTCTGGTGCCTTCTTGTAGTTACCTGTCACTATTTTTGTGCATTTGCCAGAAGTTTTACAGTCTTTGTGTTTGCTGCCTCTAGGTTGACTCATTGGATTTCCATGAAGAATCAGTTTCACTGTTTGTCTTCCTGTGGATCTACTTGCTAGTCACCTGCCTGCATGCTCTGCTGTTCATCATTACTCCAACATGCTTCATCAGACCCCTGGTTCCACCCTCCTCTCACTAATCTGAGGATTCACCATCTACCATTCTCCACACAGGACCCAGGCCATCTTTTCCTCTACACCTCACTCTGAATTATTCTAAAGTAAGCTCTCTTTTATTTCATTCCTGATCATTTCTGGCCACCATTAATTCCACTCTCATTCCAGACGTCACCGATCTTGTGACCCTTTCCATCCTCCTGAAGGCTGAAGATCTGTCAATAGTTTCTTTGAAAATAAAACCAAATCCTTATTTGGACTCTGTTGATTCTGCATCTGGTCAGACGGTTAAATTCGAACATGTTGCACACATTTTCACATGACATAATTATTTTCAAAAACTCAATTTCTCAGTCATGAATTCAAACTACTATAAACTTGCCTTCAAATCTGGGGGCAGGTTTATTTGTGAAGTCGCCTGTTCATATGCAAGATAAGCCCAAATACTTTGTAGGAAAATGATTTTTCCTGTCTTCACAATTTCATTCTTTTTTTCTGCTTTTTTCTATGGTTTTAAATAATTTAGTTCCATCCTATCTGTATGAATGTATTTTATGTTTACTGAATAGTAATGTATCAGGGTAATTTAAAGCTGTACAATACTTACTAATTCCCCACACCACAAAGGACTTCCTGGGGCACTGTCATACATCCCGGTTGCTGTTGTTCAAGAAGTATTTCCACTTGGCTCAATCAACTCTTCTTTTTTCTATTTGAATTTTTTTTTCTGTAAAAATATATTGTTTTTGTTGTGTTCCCTAAAGGCACATTTTAAATGAAACCAGTAATCATTATTATTAGAACTTCTACAACCAGGGAATGTGGCCATGGTTTTTGGTACTCGTAAAGGCAGCCTTCCATGCATTTACAAATTTACATGAATTTATGGGTGGCGACAGGGTAGACCTATTATTTCACACAAATTGGGATATGTAAGGTGTGCACTGTTTTATAAATCTGAATTTTTTTGTGTCCCACACTTTTCAAAATTTTTGCTATGCCAATTTAAGTGTGAAAGCTGTGTAAACTTTTATACATGAGGCTTGTAGTAGTTGACCAGTCATTAAAAGCAATAATGCAAACATAACCACAGAGGTCATTAGGACCCGTGCGTTGGCCTTTAGTTTGACACATTTGCGGTGTGGAAACTACTTCTGAAAAACCTGCTTCCTTTTGATGTTTTACAAGAAGATGAACTCCCGGTTAGAGCTCCTGCTTCAGACATAGACTTAGAAAGACACCATATAGCCAATCTCTGTTGTCATTCTTTGAAATGTATACCCTTCAAAATATACAAAATAAACACAGGCCATGTCAGTAGTTATCTCTTGCATCTTGTCTGTAAAAGGTGATTTTATTGTAATGCAGTCAAAGGCAACTAAATGAGTATACATTTAGTTGCCTTTGACTTGAAGAAGTTGCTTTTGACTTGAAGAAGTTGCCACTTGAATGACCAAGTGTAATATCAGAAACTTAAAAATAGTTTTTCAGATGCTTTGATTTGTAATTGGGGAAGAATGACCTGTTGAGTTTTGAAATTTTGGTAATGTGAGTTGAGCATTTTGAAATAAATTAATAAAAGTTTTTTGTTTTGTTTTGCTTTTATGCAGTCACAAAATATTATTCAAAAGTTAATGCTCTATGCTAAATGCTGTCTTGCAGCAAGAAAGTTCTTGGCTTAAATTACAGAATGAAGTCTTCATGTATGGAGGTTGCATTTTCTCCCCATGCGGCTACCCACCACAGTCAAGAACATGATTGTTACGTCAACTGAAAACTGTACATTACTTTTACAATACTTTGTATTCATACTTTGTATAAATGGTGGTGTGTTTCTGCATTACCCTGTGGTGGACTGGACATTTGTCCAGAATGTACCCCCTTTTGTCCAGTAACCACTGAAGACAGACAATCCTATAAGGATGAGTGGGTTTTGAGTGGTGCCCAAAGTCTGTCCTCAAAAGGGCTGGCATCCTGCTATTAGTTCTCTCCCTGTTTTATTGGATCATTGATCATGATTGCTCATGAGAAGGCCAAAGAAGAACATTGACATGCTGAAAAGGTTGTTACTGCCACCAAAGAGGGAACTAAGACATGCAGGGTGCTGGCCCTTTGGGCACCACTGGTTTTGATGATGACTGGATGGATATTTTATGCTATGTGTTCATAGCTGTTTGTGGCAGGAAAACCCAAATATTACTACTGAACTTGCCAAAACTTAATGGCTGTTGGTGTTTTTTTTTTTTTTTTAGAAAACTCTTGTTGCATGACCCTGATTAGACCATGTGTCAGCTTGCAAGCACACAATTATTTGCTAAATTATGTGCACATAACACAATTAAGCACCACAGGCCAATTTTTAGTGTGTGGCTTTCGGTCAAAATGAGTAGACATGAGTAGACAAATGTACACCACTGTAGAAGAACAGTGGTAATATTCTTAAATTTTTCTCATTCTAGTGAGCAAGGGTTAAAATGGACAAGTGCTTCTCTACAGTCATTCCTGGTGCATTTTATTGTTATTGGATAACGCACAACTATAGTCACACCAGCATACTGACTGAACTCCTGTTTTTAAACAGGTCGCATTGGTGAAGGTCGTATACAAGTATTTTAATCAGCAGCTCTGGGCACCCTTTTATATCAAAGAGTAACTGTGTTAGTTTTCTCCTGGATGAAACATTCTTTTCTGAGTTTACGTAGACATTGTGTTAATTAAATATGTTCTAAAAGAGGCTTTAATATCACGGGGCTGTAATCATCAACAAGGAAGAAATGTCTAACAGAACTGAGCGGTCTGACTGAAACATGCAAGTGCTGCCCACCAACACGTAGACAGCGCCACGAACTTCTCCTGCAATTTCATTGGTTTCTTTTCTCTCACCAGACATCGTACAAGTTCCACCATTGGACGGTTGTTACAGCTACAGTACGTGCGTGGTTGGGACTGCCTAAGTGTGATTGGCCAGCTGTCTGTGGAGTTTATGGTGCGTGAGCCGTGGTTGGACAGGAAGCCGGGTGTCAGTGTGGACGCTCCGTGATACTGTCATCGGTAAATATAAAGTCAGCTCTGGCTGGCCAGCTGAGTGCTGAGCAGCAAAGCAGCAGCAGAGGTACTGAAACGTTTCCCCTCACGACAATTGACTTCACACGCAGGTGAGGAACTACTCTTTAGATATTACAATCTCAAGTCTGTCTCTCAGAGCTTTGTGAGGCAGTTTTTTGTTCTCCGTCATGTGCAGTTATTATTAATGAACAACACGTTCTTAAAGTATGTATCACGTGAGCTAGTGGAAGTGTTGTTAGTCGGAGAATTGAGGCATAAAGCTGGTCCGTCAGTTATTGTGTTCCGACAAGCAACAAGCTAGAAAATCATGCAAGGAGTCATTCTTATATAATTAGCCGGTTCATTTTCGGTGATAATATATATTACATTGCGATTCATGTCTGGCACATTTATGCTAACGTGTTTATTCTTAGATTGTGTTATTGATCCGTCAGTGACCTTTAGTAACCGGCTTAGCTTCCAGGAAATCCTGTTGCTCTTTCACCCACTTTATTCCCGGGTGTCCTCAGCTGGGCTTCAAAACCTCCAGTTCTTCTCACTGTGTAGCTTCATGTAAGAACAGGTATGTCTGTGTTCAGCTGTCAGTGAGCAGACTGAACAGCTACAGTATGACGCTATCTAGCGGAGCTAATATCTTTGTAATTGCGCTTTATGAA